TGAGATGAGAAGAAGTATCTTGAGAATACTTGGATGCTAGTGCAAGATTCTCAAGATTGGTTTCAATCTAAACCACTTTGAAAGATGAAAGTGTTTCACTCTTGAAAACTCTCTTTTGTCTCTCTTTGATCTCCCAAACCCATTTGGTTGATGTTGGATTGTGTTTTTGGGTTTTTTTTATAATTTCAGCCCCCATTTTGGGTGTTTTAGTGAAACCCCCAAATAAAAAAAGGTTCTCAAACCCAAACCCAAACCCTAACCCTAACCTTATTTCAGAACCACAACAAAAGGGGGGGTGGGGTGGGGGAGGTGGTCTCTACCCCTACTCCCCTCTCCCCCTCCTCTTTTATCCTCTTCCCTCTTCCCTCTTAACCCCTCTCTATTCCTTTGTCCGAATTTCTGAGGGTGACTCTTTTGAGTTGTTGCCCCCTTGTAAAGAAGCCACTTCTCCCCCTTCCCCCACCCTGTATCTCTCCTTCCATCCCTCCTTTTCCTTCTTCCTTTCCTCATCTTCTTAGGTTTCTTTGTTGTTGTTGTTGTAGGTTCTTGGGTTGCAGGTATTTACCTTGTCCCCACTGTGGCGGCAACGACTGTAGTAGAGGCGACAATGGCGACGCCTCTGCAATTTTTTTGTTGTTGTTCGGGTCTGCCTTCTTGCAAGCCTTAGTTGTGGGCCTTGGTTAGCTTTGTTTGGTTATGAGTTGTTTGGTGTTTAATAAGTGCACAGTACTACAAAAATTGAAATAGATAATGGGAAAAAATCGTCGTCTTTTTCTTTTGAAAATCGTCGTTAAATCGACCGCCATCTTTTGAATGTCAAATTACGACGGTAATTCACCTTCATCTATTATTTGTAAAGACGATGGTTCTTTCAGAAAAACCATCTTCTATTAGATGTAAACACGACGGTTTTTCAGAAAGAAGCGTTGTCTATTAGATGTAAAGACGACGATTTTTCTAATAGAACCGTCGTTTATTATATCCAGAGACATCGATTTGTTTAAAAATCGACGTCTAATAAATCTAAAGATGACGTTTTGTTCCAAAAAACCGTCATTTATTAATTGTAAAACGTAGTGATTTTACATTTTTGGTTTTTTATTTATTTTTATTTTATTTTATAAGGTTTTCAACAGCTCTACAACGATTTTAACTAGAAAAACAACCATAATGCGTTATGAACAATAAATTCATGTCCAAATCTTCTATTTAGTAAAAAAAATATTTATTTCATAAAACTTGAAGATTCAAAAGTAATTACATTGTTAACCAATCTTGATTCCTACTATATCCATACAAAATACCATCTCCATAGCATTAACCTATAATTACAAAATACCATATCCAAAGCATTAACCTATAGTTCTTGTATCTTCCACAATTTGTACTTGGTCTCCACATTCAACTGTCATCTTGGTGTTTACAAATCTGCTGTAATAATAGTATGTCTGCTGCACCTCTATAGCTCAGTGGCCTCAACCTGCTGTAGTATGTATGAACCAAACATTAGCTAACAGCAAGATCTAATTTAGCAAAATATACATGAACCTGGGCAAAATATTCAATGCATCTCATAATGCAAAATATATAGAAATTGCTTCCAACATGCATATCCAATTTAATTGCTTCCAACATGCATATCCAATTTTTGTGTCCTCTTTTTCCCATGAAAACGCAGTCGGCTGCAAATGGGTATTCAAGATCAAACGATGCTATGACGGATCGATTAAAGCACGTCTTGTCGCCAAAGGGTTTCATCAGCAGTCTTGTATCGATTATTTTGACACGTTCAGTCCAGTGGTCAAGTCGACCACTATTTGCACCCTAAACCTTAAAAATGCTTTTATGCATAGTTATCTCTTTGAGGCGGTGTTTATGCAACAACCTTCTGGCTTCGCTGATCCTCTTCGGCCTACTCATGTTTGGAAACTCCATAAGGCAATACATGGTCTCAAGCAAGCCCCCTGCGCTTGGTTTTAGAGGTTTAGTGGTTTTCAACTTCAGGTTGGTTTCATCAAAAGTCGATCAGATTCATCTTTGTTTATGTATCGTGATTGCTCGCATGTCATGATATTACTCCTCTACATCGAGGATATCGTGCTTACGGGTAGTAATCCCTCTCAACTCTCCGCTTTCATTCATGCTCTTGGTATTGAATTTAAGGTCAAAGATCTTGGTAGGCTTTATTACTTTCTTGGCATCGAAGTCTCACATCTAAAAGATTCTATTCACCTTACACAAAATAAATATACACTTAATCTTCTCCAGCAAATTAATCTCCTAGAGTGTAAACCAGTCTCGACCCCCATGGCCTCCCAAACTAGGGGTGTTTTCGGTGCGGTAACCGCACCGAAACAAAGAAACCGTTTACCGGTCGACTACCTGCGGTTTAGCCAAAATCCAAACCAACGCCGCACCGCACAAAGACGGTTACCGGAGCTGCCGGTTACCGTGGGTAGCTGCGGTATCGGTCGGTTACCAAACCTGGAATAACAAACCTGCAAAAAAAAAAAGTAGAGAAAGAGAGAGAAATAACCTTGATTCATCACAAACACAAAGAAGGAGGGAGAGAGAAATTTAAAAAATAAAACCAAACTTAGTTATTAACCTAAGAACCAGAGAGGAAATAGAGAAAGGAAGGGGGGAGATAGAGATGAGTTAAAGAGAGAGGGGAAGAAGAAGATAAGGAAGAAGGCTCGTGGTTTTTTGTTTTCTTGGGCAGTGAACGGTGAAAGGAAACCTTGGCATTTATTAACACCCATTTAAAATATTAAAAAATCCCATGACAATCAAAAGTTGTTAATATTTAGAATTTAAAATTAATTACATCAACCCCATTTGCCCATTTCCCCACTAGAATATTAAAATATTGTATAGAATATCAAGGGAGGGAGAAGAAAATGTAACAGCAGAGAGAAACATTTCTCTCTCCTTTTTATTTTTACCTTCTTCTTCACTTTTCTTTCCTTCTATCTTTTCTCTCTGTTTCTCATTTTCTTTTTGTTCTGCGTTTCTCTCTTTTCTTTCTTTTTTTCTTTTTCTTCCTCTTTCGTTGCTTCTCTCTTCTCTCTATTTCTCTTCTTCTCCTCTTTTTGGCCTGGCTTGGTGGGGTTTTTGGCCTCCTGTTTCTCAGATTCAAGGGGAAGATGAGGAAAGGAGGAAATTCAGAGACGACTAGGGTTCGAATTTGAAGGGAATGAAATGAAATGAGGGAGAGTCGATCTCAACCTCTAGTTTCTTCGGCCAGGTGTATTAAAAATATATTTTAATATATATATGTATATATATATATCGGTCGGTTGCGGTTGCCGACGGCTTTGGTATCCTGCAACCGCATCCGCATCCGCCGTATTTCGGCTCGGTCGTCCAACAGCAACCGGTCATTGACCGGAAAAGTCAACGGTTTGCCGATCGGAAACCGCCGGTTTCCGGTATTTGCGGTCCAACCGCACAGCACTATCCCAAACCTTTGCTTCTTGCACTGATGGGTCTCCCCTTACTAATCCAACTCCATATCGCCAACTCGTGGGTGGTCTTCAGTATCTCACCACAACTCACCCCGGTATAGCCTACACAGTTCAACATGTTTCTCAATTCATGAGTTCTCCTAGTGATACACATTTGGAGGCTATGAAACAGATACTTCATTACCGCAAAGGAACTCTTGGCCATGGTTTATCCCTTTGCAATTCCAATGATTCTTCTCTACTTTTGCATACTCGGATGCCGATTGAGCAAGGTGTCCAGACACTCGTCAATCAACTATAGGGTAGTGTATCTTTTTGGGACCCAATCTCATTTCATGGAGTGCCAAGAAGCAACGTACAGTGTCTCAATCTAGCACCGAAGCCGAATACCGCGCTCTAGCTTATGCATGTGCTGATACTATTTGTATTCAAGGCCTTTTACGTGAACTTCGGTATTCTCTCCCTTGTCCAATTATTATTAATTGTGACAATCTTTCAGCTACTTACACGGCAACTAATCCGGTCTTTCATTCTCACACACAAAATTTTGGTCTTGATTATCATTTTGTTCGTGAAGGCATTGCCACTAGAAGTCAACAAGTTCAATTTATTCCCTCTACACACCAATTGGTTGACGTTTTCGCCAAAGGTTTACCCACAGATTGGTTCAATCGTCTCGTTTCCAAACTTGTCACCTCCCTGGAGTTAAGTTTGCGGGGGAGTGTTAAGTAGTTACATCAGTTACCACCAAATCAATGAGATCAATTCGATATGATTTGTAACAGTTTTCAGTTATGAGATTAATTTGTAATTTACTTTGTAATTAGTATAGGACTGTTACATTAAAATCCCCTTTATAAATATTGTATTCTTGTATCCTTCTCAAATCAGTAAAGATAAACCTTTTCTACACTAATCATAGTGACCTTGATTGAATCATAAGAGACGTCCCGGACTCCATGCGACAGGGATCCACAACTCAAACTGCCACTCTGTATTTGCACAGAAAAACCCCAGAAATTAAAGTAACTGAGAATTAACATAAGCTTCTTCTCTCCACCCTAACAAAAACACTTCATCTTCTTCTAATATTTATTTATCGTGTATGCTTTTCAGTTGACAATAGGAATTGGCTAGCCATACGCTTTTATAAGCCTTGCTCCTACAAGAATATGATTTCTTTTGTACCTATGTTCGGAAACAGCGATGAGAATGGGGAGGGGTAGAAAGATGACTGGGGAGGAAGGGACAGGGATAAACGTGTAACCCAAGTTTATTATTATTAAGTTTTTATATTTTTGGGTTAGAATGGTTAGAAGGAGTAGAACAAGGAGTATGAATGAGGGTTTAAACTACTAACAACAAGCGCCGTTGGATTAATCCAAAGGTTTTTATTAAATAGTTGCTCACAGGACTTTATTTTTAGGTCCTTAGGTGAGGGTGACTGCAATAGATAGTACCTTACGCAGGATTAATGAATCAATGTCATTACATAAGATGTTATGGCAGATGACAGAGAAACCAAATTCGACATGAATGACGCAGGACAAAAGAGAAGAAAAACCTACTGCAATCTCAATTCAACAAATTTTGGTGTTCTAAACACGACTGATTCTCTGGTCTAATTCAAAATGTTGAATTACGAAGGTGGCTTTGCACGAGTTGTGGGATCTTCCTTTGACTCCACTTGTATCATTACAACATAGCCCAACGTCCACAACAAAATGTATCGAAATGGTACACACCACAGGCATGCGAGAAGACTTAAAATACTTCCCACATACTGAGGATCTTTTATGTACCCAAATGGAAATTCTGTCACCCAGGGAATGTTCTTCCCAAAACGTACTCCATAATAAGTACCAGATTCGCCGAGCAACTGATAGACCCTAAAAATTGACAGGAAAATAATCAGATATAGATATTTGGAACAATCAATCTTTACTTGGCAGCTTAAAATCCCTGCTGCTGAACTCTTGGATAGACATAAGTTACAGGCTACATTTAATGATTAAGAGATTTCATAGTTCTTTTAAACATTCCATGCTATAGTTTCTTGCTGACCACCATATAATTGGAATGTAGGCTACAGTTACATCTAGCTTACGGTTGAGACAAACTGAGCTTCAAAGAGAGATTTCAAATCAAGGACATTTTCATACTTTAACAACCAATGGAATTAATGAGTCCTTCCTCACTTTAGGCCTATCTTACTATCAAGGACCCTTGCAGATAAATTCAATTCACTGAACAAACTAGTTTATTAAGTGTAGTAAATGCAGTAATGCCTTAGTATAGCTACCGAGTGGAGTAGGCTGATAGGGGTTAAGTGTAGTAAATGCAGTAATGCCTTAGTATAGCTACCGAGTGGAGTAGGCTGATAGGGGTCACACTCCCCATCCAAACTCTTCATCCTCTGCGTTGTCTTGGGCAGTGGGACAGAATGGATCATCAGAGGGTGGAAATTTCCTCCAATCGGATTTATTCTTTATGGGCAAGATTCTTGCCGCAAGAATAACTATCACAAGATGCTACTCAGTACTCTCTTCTCCTTATCTCCCTCTTTCTTGCATTACCCTACAAGTCTAAACTCGTTTTCTTTGGGATGGGGAGCATAAACTTTACCTTAAAAAGTTTAACTGACAGGGATAACACACATAATTTGTAATGTGTTCAAGCAGATGTTCACCATGAAAGAACATAATGGTGCATCAACCAAACACCAGTTCTAGCATATTGATTCTTCTAACAGATGCCTACTAAGGAGAATCATTACATTAAAAGTACACACGCTAGTTTTGTCTGAACCCTTACTCTTTCCTTCTTCCATTACACCATCAAGGAAAATCATTTCCCAACCCTCATGAAAATCACTATATTTAACTAGCCATACCAGAATATTTCATTCATATGAATTATATGATTTCATAAATTCAATGAATCTTTCTTCTCTCAGTCAGGATTTTTACACAAAAAGGCCTCCTTTCCCATTAACTAGGATTAGCTGTCTATAGACGCACAAGAAGAAAGAATGGCCTGTAATGTGCCATAACCTTCAAGAAGCATTTGAAAAAGGATGTTGGTAGAAATGATGACAGATCTCACATCACTTTGTCTATTCTAGGATCACAAATACGAGCTGAACCACGTTTGGTGTGGACTAAAATGCACCCTGCACTTCACATCAGACATGAAAAATATAGGCATCACCAGTACCCATTAAGGGAATTCATTTTAAAAGCAAACAACCTGCCATAGGCTGCAGCTGTGCAGCATGACACATAACAATGGCCAACATGAAAACCATTTGCCCTGAACCATCAGTTCTAGAACAAGAACTAATTAAAGATGATTAAAAGGAATTTTCTCAATCCTATATGTTTGACAAAAAGAAGATGGCCAACAACCTCAGTGCCCAAACAACCGTAAAGAACTCTGCAAGTGTCATACATATTCAATTCAGGTAAATTAATTCCTGCCATTAAAAGACAGAGCTTCACAAACTGCCTAATCAATGAACCCATATATTAGTTGCACATGGGTCAGTGAACAAACAACTACTCTCCAATCTTTCCACATCAACACATCCAAATTAAACTGAAAACTACCAATGTCCCAAAATCTTGTCAACGTGGCAAAATGAACATGATATAGTGAGCTTCCAATCACACAACAATTAAAAACACCTGAATATGTGTAAATGAATATAGCTGGACTGACCTGAAGTTGAGGAACTGGCCAAAGGCAATGAGGGGCCAGAAGTAAAGAAGGGGAGGCCAAGTGAGGGTGGAGACTGAGAAGAGAGAGAGGAACTGAATCAGTTTGAGGAAATGAGACACATAAGCCATCACTGTGCATGGGTCACGCCCTTTCCCACACAGGTCCACCCATGTTTGTGGGTAAGTCCATAGCCAATAGTAGAATGGGAAGGGTGAAAGCAGACCTAGTGCAGCTGCTATCCCCATTTCTTTTCACCTGATCTTCTCTCACTTTCTCGGGAAAATTCCTTCATCTGTGGTGCAGCGAATCTGAGCTGAGGTATTGTGTGGTGTTTGTGTGAATTTCGAAGTGGGACAGGGCCGTACCATGGCCAGGTACAGAGGCCCATTCTCATAGTCCAATGTGTAGCAGGCTTCGGGTTTTCTCATCTTTGGGAACCATACATAAAGGGCCCGCTTATGGATGTCAGATATTGATAATCCAATCAAGGGACATTGTTTAAGAAGACCTAAGATTACAATTGGACAAAATATTAGAATGTGAGGATGTAACGCATCAATCGGTAATGATGGTTAAAGAGACTCAAAATCATTTAACTAGGCTATAATTTCCCGACGTGGGATTCACTCTCAACACAGAAAATCGAATGAATTGTTCAAACCAATCAAACCAAACCAATTTGTTGTTTGATTCGGTTTTCACATTAAAAATACTTAATTTTGGATTATACCCAATCAAACTGCAATTAATTATTTTCAGTTCGGTTTGCCTATTCTGAACCACCTAAACCAAACCAAACCAAACCATCTATGTTTTATCCCACACATCAATATCAACCATTAAATATATATATATATATATAATTAATTAAACTTACAATATGATGCTCCCTGTGGTATATGTAAGAAGAGAATATAAACTATTTGCTTAATTGCTTATATGATAGGGAAATAATCAAACCAAACCAAATCTAATCAAATTGAAACCTCACTCCCTCATGATGTTGCATTTGTTCATTGTACGATTTGAGGTATAAATCAAACCACGTTGGGCCACACCTATTCCTAAAAATCAGCCAAATAAAAAAATTAGTTACTCATCTAATTGTGATGAAATAAATAGAGAAAACACTTTTGTTTTCATAGAAATGATCCTTGAAGTATCGAAATAAAATAGACGGTTTCAATTATGAAACCACACCACGCGCTACTGGACGAGGTAGAAAAATGAGAAGATACAAGGTTAACGGAGAAGGTAGTAGCAAGTCTCATATTTCTTTTAATAGATGATGAGTACCACACTCACTCTTTCAAATTAGGACAAACTACAGTAAACCCCCCAACCTATAGGGTCATTTACGAGTTCATACCCGATTTTGGGGACATTTACCAGTACATACTCAACGTCGTGGGAACCTTACAATTTGCCTCCTCTGTTAACGAGATCGTAAAAAAATCCGTTATCTGCCTACGTGGTATCTAGCTGGATGATTTTTTAAGGGCATTTTCGGCATCTCATGTCCATGGGTTTCGCGCCCAAACAACACGTGGCGCTCTTTACCCCAAGCTTAACTTCGAAACACCCCCACACCCCTCATACCCTAAGCCCCAAATCGACAGAATTTGTTGCCTAGGTTCCAATTCGAAGAAGATGAAGACGATGAAGACGACGATGTCGACAAGGTTAACAATGTCTGCAAATCGAAGATGCGAAGTGGGCCCGCCCATTTGTCACTGCGGCAATCAATGTCGTTTGACGACGTCGTGGACTGACAACAACCCTGGGAGAAGATTTTGGGGTTGAGCCGATTATGGGGTAAGAAGAGGTTGTGCATTCTTTGAATGGTATGATTCACAAGTATGCGAAAGGTCGAAAATTGTGATATGTGGACTATTGAAACGATTATGTAAGGAATCTTTGTGCTTTCAAGGCAGCTCCAACCTCTATTTTCAATTTTCGGTTTTCCTCTTCTTCCTTATGTAATCGTTTCAATAGTCCACATATGACAATCTTAATTGAAGTGCTAATTTCACATGCTAGTACTGGAATGGAGAGACGCTGGATCTTTCAAGAATGGGAAATTAGCACTTCAATTTTATGGTCTAGAATTTAGGAGACTTGGGTGATGTTTTTTGTGGCCATTTGTGGGATATTTTGGCAATCAAATTGCTTTATGTGTATGAAAGGCATGTTTTGTGTAATCTCCCATGTCAATTTGTATGAAAGATGTTTATGTATGAAATGTTAGGCAATTTCCAAATGCACAGACTGTTTGCTTCAAAGCAATTTCCATTATATATTGAGTTCAAAATACATACATACTTTTCCAACATTTGCAGCTCAAAATACAAAATGAACATGATCACCTAATCTGGAATACAACCATTTCCAAGTCATGGAAAAAGTTACCAAAATTTGACAAAATGGCCACATCACAAAACCAAAAGTTGTACTAGTTCAAAATACAATACATGGCATAAACTAAGAACTAAGAGCCTATGCTCTCTGTCTCTTGGATGCTCTCAATCCAATTCTAGCAGTATCAACTGCATTTGGATGGGAAGCATTTAGTGAAGCATTTAGTGCAGCCTTCTTTGCAGCAGCAGCAGCCTTTGCCCTTACATATGCAAGCTTTCTCCTTGCTCTTCCAGCTACTTTTGCTTCTTCCACAGAGAAAAAAACAGTTTTAGGTTATATTGGTGTCAAACAGGAAAACAGTTTCAGGTGATAAGGAAGAAACAACAAAATAGTTTCATAAATAGGCTAGCAATAATAATAGGCACTCACAGCAGCAATTGCAGGGTCTTGGTTAGGTATTTTTCTTGGTCTTCCTTTACCCCTTGATAGGGGTTTTTCCTTTTGAGGTAGATTTTGATGGTGAGTGGTTTTGTTATGGCCAATTGAGCCACAAATACTGCACCTCATTTGCATTCCTTGTCTTCCCAACCATTTTTTCCCAGTCTTATCTATTCTCTCTTCAGCTCCTTTTATCCTCACATTTCTAGGTCTTCCAGGTTGTCTAGTGTAGGCTAGTGGCTTTATTGCTGTTTGGTTGGTCTTCTCCCATAGTTGTGACCCATTAATTGGCATAATCAGATTGTTATAGAGGGTCATGTAACTGTCTTTGTTGTAGTATGAATGCACATAATCCTCCACAGTTGTCCCTCCTTTGTAAGCAATTCCATGAGCACAAGGAATGTCTGACAAGTCCAACTTTCTGCAAGAACAAGTGTGGTTATCCAAGTCCACTATATATTGGTCACCTCTTCCTGCATCCACTTGATTTTTAGGACCACCAGACCATTGCACAGTACAATTGCATGCTTCTAATTTTTTGTCTTGGACATGGTAAAAAATGTTCTTGCATATTTGATGAGGCCAACTGCTCATCTTGTCCCTCCTCCACTGGATCATTCTCATCAACAAGCACCTGATCATCTCTAGCATTGTGATAATTGGCTTGTCCCTTGCTGTCTTGATACTATTGTTGAAGCTTTCACACAAGTTATTTTGCAGCATGTCACACTTAATAAGTGTTCTGAAATACTTTACCCTTTGAAGACCTTGTACCATTTCCCTTCTTTGGTGCCTTAGCCACTGTTTTACCCTTTCCCTTCTTTGGTGCCTCAGGTTATGAAAAATCCCCAACATCATTCACTGCTCTCCACTATCTTCACCTTATGTGGCTCAAGATATTTAGTTGGTTGCTCAACATTGCTAATTCTCTTATAAGGAACAACAGGACTACAATCAACATATCCTAGATCCTCACTCACCACTGACCTATGTTTTTGTACCCCGGAACCTTCCACCCTTTGCAGCTCAATTTGTTTGTGTTTGTTTAAAAAGGTATAAGGGTCATCAGTCAATTGTGTCAAATAAATATCTATCTTCCTCACTCTTGGCACACATTCACACATTTTCATAACATCTTCATCAGAGAGAAGCTTTTTTTACAGAAGAAGAGTTGGGAAGCTCATAGTGATATAACACTATACCATCATAGCCTAACTCCTTAACCATTAGACCAATTCAAATATAGACATTTGGTCCTTATTGCAAAAATCAATGAAGTTCATAGTCCCATTTACATACAGGTTGTCACATATAGAACCCCCATGGTTCATTCGAATAGTAAACTTATCATCTTCACCTACAAAGCCACATAATAGTCAAACCTATCAATAAACAATTGTTGAATACAGAAATGGTGAATAAACAAGGACATAAACAAATGAAGGTTTTGGACCACTGAGTATTGTCTGGAATCCAAAGCAGTTTGGTCTGACAAAAAAAAGTGTTTTTTTTTATATAATGCTTTTCCAACAACACACCGACATAAATGGACCATGGACCACAAATATCACTCTCAAGCACACTTCAAAGCAAATCAAAGGTTCAGAAACAACAAAACCACAAGCCCTTTATGACGAAACCAAAAAGCTAGAAGGAATAAAACCCCAAGCAACTTACAGTAACGAGGAGCACGACAGCTAGGAGGACGAAAACCCCACGGCATCTCGACTTACAGCAACCCAGCCTTCTCTGTGCTTTCGATCGAGTATCTGGAAATCGATTTGGGGGGCCTCTGGACGAGTATCTGGAAATCGATTTGGTGTTTTTTTTGTTTTTTGTTTTGAATTAAAGAGCACCACGTATTGTTTGGGCACGAAACCCATGGACATGAGATGCCGAAAATGCCCTTAAAAAATTGTCCAGCTAGACGCCACGTAGGCAGATAATGGATTTTCTGACGATCTTGCTAACGGAGGGGGCAAATTATATGATTTCCACGACATTGAGTATGTACTGGTAAATGTCCCCAAAATCGGGAATGAAATCGTAAATGACCCTATAAATTGGGGAATTTACTGTAGTTTGTCCTTCAAATTAAGTTTGAACTACCAGCTTTCTCAGGCAACCTAAAACTTTAAAAGAAGGGGAGGATGCCAAATGCCTACAAGGTCTTGGTGCTAGTCAATGAGAGCAAGTTCACATGGTTTTCCATCTTCTTTCCTATTCATATAGGCGGCGCCACAAATTTTTATTTTTAGGTGATGATCATGGACCACTTGTCCCATGTGATGCCAGGTGCCAAGAGAAAAAGCCTACCCCTTTTTTTGGCAAAGCAGGACATGCATGTACCTTGCATATATATTCATTTGAAAAGTTTGAAAACGCATTATGGATATCTGCATGATTTTCACACTGCTATGGCAATGTGATTGTTTGCAAGTGGAAACCCAACAACAAGTTTTCTCTTTTGGCTGCTCTACCTATAAAGAATATATCATCTAAATCTTGTCAAGAATTTATGAGCAACTG